CCATCGGGGGCTCTTCATCAGGATGAGTGGTACTGGTATTATTTCGCGGATTCGGCTAATACGAATACGCGGCGAATTCATACTCGCCGCGTATTCGTATTAGTCGTCGCGTCGTGTATATACTCGTATTCGTTCGAATATACGTGAGTGTTTAGCCGTTTTTATATTATAATGTCTCACGAAAAGAAAGAATAATTGAATAATAGAGATATTCTGTTTTCTGCATTTGTAAATGAACTTTGATTTAATGTTAAGGTATTGTTTTATGGAGTTACGTCCACGCTTTTAAGATGCTATTAAAAGTTATAGCATTGTGAAAAATAAGACGATTAATTGGATAGACAGATCATGGTTTTTTTTTCGTATTTTCCATTAACAGGTATGTCAATAGACGAAAAAATATTTTATTAACAAGATAGTAGGTCGTTACGATGTCGAGTGCAGTTAAGTACCACAGAAATGCTGACACGTAGAGGTGCTCCAATTTCAAGTGGGAACAGGGTTCCGTTCTTATTATATTCGGTTTCAAATTTTATTATAAAGTAAAATAACAGAGAAGGAGAGAGGAACTTCTTTCATCTCATTCGAATAACAATTTCAATATGCCGATAGTAATAAGGAACAAAAAGCATTAGGTAAATGGAACAGGCCACTATATTTACTCGTGATTGCGCGAGGAGCCGGAACATGGCCGGCAAATAGGTTAGTTATAAATATAAAACGCATTAATATGGCGCAGACAGAACTACTAAATGTATTGTTAACACAATATTTATATCAACAGACTTCCTTAAAAATGTAGTCAGTGTGTAAAAAAATTGTGGGAAGTATGGGGTCTATTTTAAACATACGTGTTGAATTTGATATCCAAGATTTTGTTGTTAATTCACGGATACCAACTTGTTTGGGCCATTCTTTAAACAAACGAACAGTGGGTTTCTGAAACCAAAATATCTGTATGAAATATATTATCCCAGTTATGATATATCATTCCATATTTGACAAAATAGAGATAGCAATATGATTTAAATTGATATTTCGGTCTCAGAAATCCACGGTAAGTAACTTTTCGTGTAACTCGCATATGCGACAAAAATGTATAAATTTCGTTACAAACGTATATTTCTACATGTAACACTTTCATAGCTTGATGTAATCGATATCAATCAGTGCGTATTCTCTCGTAACGCGCAATGGGAAGTGTTTTAATTGACACTTTCAAATAATCGTCACTTATAACAACTTGACCATCGCATGTTATGTAAATAAAGCGTCTAAAATTTGTTAATCCATAGAAACTAAAATTAAATATGGATTTTTACATATTTTGATTTTGATTTTAAAAAAAACTTAATAAGTAGCTTGTGTGTTCTTCCAAACTATGTTGTATATGTGCCAAATTTGAGCGTCGGTGGCTCAATGGTCAAGCACTTGACTTGCAATCTGCAGGTCCTGGGTTCGAATCCCGCCATGTACCAATATGTTTTTCGATTTCCGATTTACATATGTACATTTATCCGACGATATCACGGTGAAGGAAAACATCGTGATGCAACCTGCACATATCTGAGAAAAAATTCAAAGATATGTGTGAAGTCAACCAACCCGCACTGGGTCAGCGTGGTTGACTATGGACTAATCACCCCAAATTAGGTAAGGCTCCGAGCCCCTCGATGGGGATGCGTAGTGAGCTGATGATGAATATAATATTTAAATACTAAAAATGGGTAATTTGTTTTACAAAGACGTTCATCTGTCATCGACATAAATACGCACAAACTTATATGCCGCGGAGTGTGCGCGTTAACGATTATGTTATGCGCGTGATGGTGCAATGATTGCGCGTAATTAGTTGCGCAACGTTAACGAGTAGTCGCGCCCAATCCCCGGTTATTGCTTTACGCGAATTACCTACAAGTACAATCGTTGGGTTGATGCCCGATTTGTTTTGAAGGAAACGTAACAAATCCCTACAGTATATTATCTGTATCTGTCAGTTTTCACGACTTGAGCGTTAATTCAAAAAATGCTAACAAACTTGTTGCTAATATAGCTTTGTTAATGCTATCATCAGCTACGTCCCCACAGAGGTCTCTACTCTAAGGTAGGGGTGACCAGGCAAAAGTCAACCACGCTGGCCCAGTGCGGGTTGGTTGACTTCACACATATCTTTGAATTTCTTCTCAGATATGTGCAGGTTGCATCACAATGTTTTACTTCACCGTAAGAATGTACATATGTATGTACATTTACCTGACGTTAGTAATGCTATGTATTGTAGTGATTCTTGCAATTTTTAAGAGATTTCATGATTTTTCTTTTACATTGAAGAACTAAAATTTTCTGTAAAATCCCTTTGTTTTTTTTTAAAGCTTCCAATTCGGGCAGTCCGTTAAAAGGCTAGGATTCATTGGAATAGAAAATCTCCGCTTTGGTCACGCTCGGTCGACGGTCGGATGTGGGAGCGGTCGAAACAGATTTGAATGGACGTTTTTAGTACATCCAGTTATTCAATGAAGCCAAAAATGTCTGCTCTTTACGGGTTTTATTTCATTGATAAATATTTTTAATTAAATGAAATATTTTTGGGTTATATTTGAGTTTGTTTTCTCTTATATTTAGCTCTGATCGTGATTTAATTATTAATTTAGTGGTATTATTTCAGTAAATTTAGTTTAGTAGTATTATATTTTATGAAAACCTAGTAACACTTTTTTTCCACTGAACCGTATCGGACTCCAGCTGGGAAAGTAAATTAATCGATGGAAATTATTCACGCACGTGTCGTATCGCTTCAGTGGAAACGCCCTTTTTTATTTTTTATTTAACGATAGCTGTCCATTAGTAGTATAAGCAGCGTATATCAATTTTAGGAACTTATAGTGTCATTTGGAGACATAAAATAAATATTTTTGCCTTCCGTTCACAACATGTGCCTAAGACCATTATTAAAGTACTCGCCATAAATAAAATTTTGCCCTTAAAAAAAAACATAAACTTAACATTTTTTTTATATCATAAAGTGGCAAACCAGCGAACGGCCATCTGAAATCGCTTAAATAGCGAAGTGACCGTTGCTCATATCATAAGCAATTGCATATGCGTTGCCTACCTTTTATCGACAGAGGAGAGGATCCTCAGTAAGAAAATATCTTCCCTTTCCACACATCCTCTCATCCGGAAAGTCCACTTCCACTTCCCATCCTTTCCTTATAAGAATAAGGTTGGAAAGGGAATGAGGACTGAATTAGGCCTCCGGGACGCACACTCATCAGGCGAAACGCGGAATTGCTTCCACTTCACGCCTGTCTTCTGTGTGGTCGTGGTATTTCACCGGTCGAGCCGGGACAATTCGTGCGAAGATCTTAAAGCGGGCTCTACCACTGTTAAAACCTCTGTATTATAATAAAATATTATATTATTGTTTGTAAATATAAACAATGTATGTGACATATTGTCCTTACCGTCACCTTGTAGTGCATGTATAACAATGCTAGGACCTTGATAGGCGCACGCGACGTGAGCCTAGACCTAGGTAATGTAATTACAGGATTGCGGTCGACGCGCCGGACCGTGAGGTCTTATGGCCCTCGTAGCCATCGCTGTTGTAACTACGAGGTCGATGATCTCTCTCAATTCTTATTCTTTGACTTGTTTTGAAGTTACAAGGAAGAGTTGCATATTTTAAACATGTAAAGGTACGTGTGCATTCGTCACACTGTAAGTACGAATTAAACGAATTTGTTTTGTTTTGTTAAGATGCGGGCAGTGCGGATGGACGCTGCGCTATGTAAAATCATACAAAGTAAACTAAAATCCGTTGCAGGTCATGCGTGCGGTGCGTTCAGCGCGGGCCAATGCACGCGTACCTTTACTCTTTTTCTATGTCCTTTGCAAATATTGCATTTGGCGTATGTAATAGAAATCGAGTAACATTATTGAGTTTTAATTTTGTTGCATTTATTGTAAGATTCGTCGCTTGCAATGAGGGCGTTTGAATCAGCACTTAACTCCCAAGTCATTGTCGTCCGAGCTTGCCCGTTAACAGCTTATCTTGATGTATTCAAATCTCTTTGAAATGTTTTTTTTTTTATTCATGTGATGTTAACTGATGATAAAAGTTATAATCTGTATCTAGTGACGTCACGCACAGAAGATTTAAGAAGATATAGACAGTAAATGTGTAAATATTTTTTTATTTACCAGGTGCTCTAAAAATGTCCCTCTGTAAAATATACAAAAGCACAGCTCGTATGGGATTGAATTCAAAACATAATACACCCTGTAGCTCTTTTCTACTAATCACTAAAACCTACCTTGAAATCTCGCTAATGTTTTCTATCTCGCATTCACATAATGCACCTTACTGCTCTGCTTTTAAGGTCATTATTTGAATTTATACGCTTACGAGTTCTGATGAGGGTCGCCCAAGGCCGTCCATTGTCGAGATCCGGCCTGTCGGTAGTTCTCATAATCCCTGGCCACTTGGATTATGTATGCGAAATTGTTATGTAAAAGTGTACTCGTTGATTAGATGCAATTTTAAACTTTATTACGTATGTGTTTAATGCTATAATTGTGTACTGCTTTAGTTTTGGTACCATGGAATGCCGTGTTGCATACTGTCTGTAGGGAATTCGTAATAAATTGTTAGTTTTGATTTCTGGATTTGGAATATTAATGCAATATTTGTGATTATTCTCTTAATGCTGCTGTCACAATTGTAAAATATTACTTAAGTGAGTCTCTTAGTGCAAATATAATATGGGAAATCGTCTCTAAGGGACTGCCTAAGTACCACTTAAAAAATAACCGGGTCTATCTTATCTGTTTGATTGCAGTTAAATTTGTGACTAGCTTTCACCTGCTACTCCTTACGCGATGAATTAAGATAAACAATCTAGCCAGTGTGTTCATCCATGCAGCCGTTCTGAACATACCTTCTAACATCAATCTATCTAAACATTCGTGTTTATAATATTAGTAATGTTGATGTGCAGGGTGCAGTGCCGCAGCCGCAAAGTATATCGATGAGCCGGCGCTAGCTCTCGTCCGAGAGGAGCGTCTCGACACGCTGCGTGCACATATAACATGTAAGTAAGCACACTATATGACATATAACGAGAAATATATGATTGTTAAATCACAATTTGCCATTTCCACTGACGCGATAGCTCATGGAAATAACAGTCACGCGCCGTTCGCTTAGTAGAAATAGAGTTTAACTGCACGTGCATAAAATTTGAAGTAAAAAGCTTAGTAATAACATTATTTAAGAACTAGGATATACTAGTGACTATCATCCTCAATCCTATTAAAATTTTACAGTTTAAAGAGACTCGTAACACCTGCTCGTAAGACCTGGTTAAGATCCAATTAAGCTTTTAGAGCTATAATTATCTCATAATAAACAAAGACTTATCCTGTCATATACACTTTGTTATTAAATCTATATCATAATTGAATATAATCAAAAAAACAGTACATAGTAATCTTATTCTCTACACCTTAATCAAATGCTGGACCAAATCATCTTAAAAATTAATCGACAAATAATAGTTTTGATATGAGGTTTTAATGATAATACTACGTTCAAATGGTTATGTATGTAACAAAAACGAACAAAACATACGCAAGTTAACACGTCTATTACATTGCAAAAAGCATTGGTTTTTGTTTTTGCCTTGTTAAGATCATCGGCCGGCTAACTCAATTATAGCCTGTCCACGCAATTACGTTCCGGATTCGTTGAGGGCGAGGAACGAGTAATTATTGTATGCTATTTATCTCGGTGTTAGAAATGTAATCACGACACTGCCTTGTATAGATAGAATTTACACAGGCCTTTTGTGATGGAAAAGTATTTTGTTAGTGTTTATGAATTATAACAGTGGTAGAGCCCGCTTTACGCCACGACCACACAGAAGACAGGTGTCGAGTGAAAGCAATTCCGCGTTTCGTAGGGTGAGTGTGCGTCCCGGAGGCCTAATTTAGTCCTCTTTCCCTTCCCACCCTTTTTCTTATGGAAAGGATGGGAAGTGGAAGTGGACTTTCCGGATGAGAGTATGCATGGAAAGGTATGATATTTTCTTTATGTGCATCCTCTCCTCCGTTGATTAAAGGTAGGCAACGCATATGCAATTGCGTATATCTATGGGCAACGGTCACTTCGTTATTTCAGCGATATCAGGTGGCCGCTCGCTCGTTTGCCGCCTTATGATATAAAAAAAAGACTTACTAGATCTTTTTGTTACTAAACCTATATTAAGGGAAGCCCTTAGTGACAATTTAATTATTCTTAGTATTTTTAGGAAGAAAATCCGAAAATGATCCAGTGTATACTCTACCACTGTTAAGCCTAATTGTGATATTAAGAATTACTTCCTCCATTTTAGCAGAACGTCACTTAAAGGAAGTACGGTCTACGTATTATCAAATGATGGCGAATTACAACGCGGCGTCAATTGGCACAGTGCCCGCTAATAGACAGATATGGTATAAAGGCAAAACGCTTGTCTCCAATTGCTGTCACACAATCATCCAATAAACCGGGTCGTTGCTCTCAGGCAAGTGCCTTATGAATAAGTGTCGCTATTAAGGGTTGCCACAACTTACCTATTAAATTTTTTACTTAGTAAATAGATTGATTAAATAAAAAAAAAAACAGATGTATTTTAAACACGCCTTTGTCATTTACCGATTGTGAATGTTTTTAAAAAGTTAGTATAAAGAATCTTTTGTAATTAAATTAAAAAAATGTCTTTAGAATGTAAAAAGGGGTTATAGTTTTCTAAACCTAATGAAACGGAAGAAGTGAGAGAGATGTATTCGCCTCGTGATACACCTAAAACTTTGCGTTATGACTTTTGTTTTTTGTAAATGTACGTCAACAGTTTGTGACAGCCCTGTTAGTAAGTGGGACAAATCAGGCTATCTCGCGTTGCCTTGCCGTCGCGGTCGTTGGAGACAAGCGCCGGAAACTGATGCAGCGCGCGACTCTACACTGACCGTGATGGATGAGCTATTCTAAGCTTACGACTAATTGAAATACTTTACCCTGTGATTGACTAGTGGAAATCGACCTTAAATGAATAATAACACTCATCTGTAGAACGGTAAACTGTTTATCTTATTATGTATTTCTTATTAGTGCTACTAGCGGTTGCCAGCGACTCCGTCCGCGCGGGATTAAGTGTCCTTCGAGCCCTATTTCGACATGTATGCGAAATTTTAACTAGAGTCGTTAAGTCTTTTTGGAGATAATCTTCCAACAATAATCCATCCATCCGTCAAAACATGGCATGATTATGAGGGGAGAGACGACTAAAATGGTGATAAATCAATATGGAGAACGAAAACCTAATACGCAGATCTTACGTCGAATGGCATAAGAATTAGGAGATGTTGAATTGTTACTACGAATAGGAAACATCAAACTTTATACAGACTGGTCTAATTATTATCAGAATTTAGAATAAACACAATTTAAAAGGCAGTGTATACTCAAATGTTTCCGGCGATGACTGTACCAACCAAAATAGTGTTGCTACTTAATATGCCAGACTGTCAATTAAAACATGACCAGAAATTGACGTAACGATATCACGACTGTGTCTCTCGTGACCGGGAATCCATTGTGTCAGTAACATAGTCTTTGTTTTGATTTTTACAAGCTTTGCCAATGGAAATAAACTCATTGTTCCTCAGAAACCGCTCTTGAAGTCACTTAAGTTTGCCCTTAGTGTAGATTACATAGTTAATCTGTACCGAAGGATATTGCCTTTGCATATGTCATTTGCGCTGTCTAGTCAATTTAAGTCTATAAGCATACTTATAAATGCGATTGTTTGCATGCATGGATGGATGTTTGTTGGAAGGTATCTCCAGAAAGGCTGCATGAATCTCGATGAAATCGGCGTAGATGAAGAACACATTCTGAAAGAACACATAGGCTACTATTTTTTTTTAATTTAGCGCGGACAGAGTCGCGGGCGACAGCCAGTATATTATAAATACGAATGTTTGCATGAATGGATGGATATTTGTTGGAAGGTATCTCCAGTAAGGCTGAATGAATCTTGATGAAATTTGGCATTGATGTAGAGCATAGTCTAGACGAACTAATAGTTGTTTTTTTTTTAATTTTGAATATCACTCGCGGACGGAGTCTCGGGCGAAAGCTAGTGTTATACAATCCTCTATGTATATTATGTACGGGGTATAATCTAAAACTCGCAGCACATCCCGAGCGCGCACGATGCAGCAGTTACTCCGGAATGTGCAGATTATGCAAGCCAACCGCATCATGTGTGCAAGGAATTTTAAATCCCCCTTTATTTATAACTCTAACATTACTACGAACTGATATGACATCTATATAATGTAAGCAAGTAAAGTGTAGTTAGGAACGTTGATTATTTATAGATTGAAATTTTGTTTCTTAGTTAGATTTTAATATTAACTTTGTACACAGATCCTTTACGGATAAGTACATATATATATATATATATATATATATATATATATATATATATATATATATATATATATATATATACATATATATATATAGATTTTCTTCATAAATTTACGGCCAATTTTACTAAAATTTAGATTTTTACCCCGGTTTGCCTCTGCGGACTTAATTGTAAATATTTGTCCTCCATTGATGAGAAACAAACAAAGGTTACAATATGTTTCTGGACAGACGTGTCATTAGTTAAACAACGGTATCTTCAACACTAAGAAATTCTATACATAAAAACTAGTACCTGATTACTAGTTATATGATAAAGGTGGTACTCGGCAGTACTTAGGGGTTAGCAGAGACAGTTAAGCGTCGTTAGTTTATATCGTTTTCTGATGGTAAAGATTGTGATGTCGTAAAAATGTATTAATTATTTTAATTAAAAAACCTTCGTATAGCAGACTGCTCTGTAGTTTATATCAAAATACGAGACAGTTAAAGTCGATATAAGAATGTACGAAGTAGCACTTGTGCAATGATCAAGAACAATAGGTCGCGTAACACCTGTGTTACGACTCACATATTAATCGAATACGCGATCCTATTGTGTAAGGACGATTGTATCGTATTCACGCAATGTAACCTTATATCTTATTGCATTGAAATAAGATCGATATTCGTATACAAAGAACCGGATTCGTGCGACTTTCAAATCGCACCAGTTTGATACTTAAAAATGACCTAATCTCTTCTCTAAATATTAATATCAATTACAAAACATGTCTGTGGCTTTCGTGCTACAGTGATAATTTTATTGACACATAGTGTCATCCCTTTCATTCTCTTAGATGTAACAGAGACAACAATATGTGTCCTTTAAAACTTTTTTGAGACTCTGATGTTTTGGCCTTCATCCAACCTTTTGACTCCGTCGCAGATATATTTACTTGCACTGTTGTTTAGTATTAAATGTGTATTAACAACTAATATTCATATATCGGGTTATATCAACGCTTATAACGCAAATACAAACATAAAACTTCATTTTGTATTGTTTTTAAGTTTTTTATAGCGTCATAAATAGTCGCGCAGACTTTGTGATTCTTCAATGACAGATTTTATATTTAGCGCATCTTCTGCGATTTCTTATTATAAAATCCATTATGAATCGTACGTTTGTTTACGTTGGTATGCTATTAGTACCACCACATAAAAACAATAGTGAACCTTGCAAAGTCATGGTCGATGTGATTACGATAAAAAATATAGCCTATTCTCAAGATCTTTTTATAGTATTAGCAGATGCATTAAGATGTTTACAGATGAGTAGGCAGGATTAATTCCCCTTGAGTACGAAATCAACGACTCGCTCCATTCTTTATATCTAAAGTAGCTGTCACCCCCGACTCAATCCGTGCAGAATTACAAAAAACTTAGTACCCTATGTATTATTCCAGACTATGTTCTGTAGCCGTTCTAGAGATACCTTCAAACAAGCATCCATCCCCGTAATGGTTTGCTATTAAATTATTCAAACTTTCGTGAGACATTATACTAAACTGATATATAAACACGGCTAAACACTCAAGTATATACGTCCGGTGGCGGCACCGACTACTGAGTGAA